TTTAATTAATGCGAGGCTGAGAGAAAATCTAGAGGTAAGAAAAATGGAATGGGTAATTGATTAGCATACGAAAGCTCCTAATTATTCGTTAATTATGTCAAAATTAGCTTGCATTATATTTTTATTTTTTTTAAAAATATTAGGACATATTTAGGTTGCGCTTTATGTAATTTGGAATGTTGTTGAATGTAACAGACTCTGTCCCGCTATCTTCTTTGGGATCCCATCTCCCGCCAGCTTCAACGGCCAAACCGGGAGACTTGGTCTGTTAATGGCTTAACGCTTAAGCACACCTGTTACTCATGTACCCAATTTCTCACCCACTCAATGATTATGGGCCCCACAACAGATGCCCATGCAAATTAGAGAGTGGGAATTGTTTTGGATATACACATATTTAGTATTCTGGAATCCCTCTATAATAAAGTGATCAAAGTGTCAGGAGACTTTCACTCAGAAGTCGCATCATTTTTTTGATCTATAAATAGGGAGCACGAGGTAATAAGAGTCTAGATGGCTCAGAACCTCTTGTATGCGAGCTGGATGTTCTGATTTGAAGTGGTTGAATCACAGCCATCTTATTACAATTTAAGAGATGATAGAGGTTCAACCATCCAAATGAGGTAATCAGAGCATCCCGCTTACATGCATGATGTTACAAGGAAATGTGTATCCTATGCCTGAATTTAAAAGTACATAAAATTTACCTTTGATAAAAGAGGACAATTTTTCGCCTTTATAAAAAAAAAGATAAGGTATTTAAAGAAAATAAAAGCTTTCACAACCTAGTTAGCGCGATGTTAGTGAGAAGCTGTAGACTAAGATCTCAAAATTTCCGAAAGTAAATCTCATTGGTTTTGCCAATTAAGACGAGTCTAAGGGGGCATTTCTGTTGGGTTTGGGTTCATACCCGTAAGCGGGCTAAACATTTAGTCATGCGATTTAGCTAAGGCATATGACAACTTGGTCATGTTGGTGCGACCCAATTGAGGTTTGGGTTGGAAACTTAAGTCATATAAAGAGGCTTGAGTTGAAAATTGCTAGTTGGATTCTTTCATTTGTTCTATATCGTCTTGGGGAGAAAGGAAGAAGAGAAAGTTTAAGAGTTTAGAGAAGCTCATCTCGGTTGATTTGTTTAACATTGCACAACATCTTGGAGATCTCGGTTGGCTTTTACTTGTTGCTAGAAGGTGGTTCTTTAAATAGATAGTATGTTTAGAGCTTGTGAGGTAAAGCCCATATATTTTCGCATTTATCCATTGTTGGAGTCTCAAGCACGGTTATGGTCTTGAGAGTGTTGGGCTTCTTGTTGGTACAGTGGAAAGATCGCTCTTTTGGTTGTGGACGTAGGACTGGGATGTGGCCGTACCGCGTTAACTTGGTTCTCCATTGTGATTATGATCCTCTGTGCTGTTGGTTCTGCATTTACCTTCCTCTCTCACATTTGATCTTTGAGCATGGGATCCCTCTTTGGTTCCCACAATTTTGACCTTTTTCTCCTTCCATAGTAAGATGACTTGCAAGAAAAATTGATGTTCATTTTTGAATCTGTGCCATTGTGGTACAATTCTCATTCTGGTAGCAGTAAAAGGAACTTCAACAGAAGTATCAGATATTAGGAAGAGAAAGGAAAAAATTTTTGTATATCCAGTCACTCTAGATTTCAACACCAGCCATGGATGTCTCTTTGTGATGAAGTGTGGTGAATGAATGTCTTGTATCGCGTCTGACAAGAACGGAAGGAGAATGAATAACTGCGAGAACAATAAGTCGAAGCTTTTCCTCGAAAATATTAAGTTCAGTATGAGAAAACATCGCCAGTATTTCAATATATAAGAACACCGCTCTGCAATGGATACAGAAAAAAGTTTCACCTAATAAAACATCACATTCTCTCCATGAGAAAACACAACAGTTTGCAAGCAGTATATCACACGGAACTGGTTGTAAGCTACAGTTGCTATTTAAAATTCCTTCTAACAAAATCACATTCTCACTTCCATTTCGACACATTTTAGGGAGCACGCATGAAGTAAATGAATACAAAAAGCACATCTACATTAAATAGGTAGATTGCAACTCTACGACATTGAACCACTTTTCCTTTTTCTTATAGTACACGCTAAAGCTACAAAACCATGTAAAGCTTCTTCAACAATTGTGAATCTTTCGAATACCTGCAACAGACAGAAAGATGAGGAACTTCTCCAGAAGTTAGACTCTAATAATTGAGCTAAATAATATAAATATGGTCACCTGTTGTCTGAGATTCAGTTTACCATCTCATCTAGCTTCTGTCTGTACTGAGCCAAGGTCTGCAAATGACAATAGAAAGTTATGTTATTCCTAATTCAAGGTAAGCTACATCGAGGATATTCACAAAATTACGATAAATTATATATCAATATCTAATGTAAGTTACGTAATGCTTCCACCAAAAGCTAGTTTGCTCATGGGTATGCCATTTAACTCTATAGGCCTATAGCAGGCATCTGTCATATGAATTTTTCAAATCAAGTGAAACAAAATGATTTTCAATTGGATATGGTCATGTGATAGGAAGGACCAAACAAACAATATCGTAACCATCATAATGATGAGGGATGTCTGCCTTCTCAGTCACAATTAAAAGTTACACTCAGGATCATCGCAATCTCTATCAAATATTTCAGCAGAACCTGCAGATAACACGCAGTCATTTGCATGGTCAAGGACAGCGCTTTAGATATTGGTCAAGGGTATTTTAGTAAGAGTATTTTAGTCACTAGCAAATGACAGATCAATCAGCAGAAAAAGAGAAAATACTGAAACGCGAAGGTGAATTCTGCGTTTTAGAAGGAGCTAATGACTTATAACTTCTTCTGTAGAGCGTTGTAAAGACCATTGTTGAGTGATCTTTGCCTTGGCTGTTTTGGGGTGTGAAAGTCGTCAGATTGTAACTTTCATCATCGGTGTTTGATGGGGGATCAGCTATCTATTGTGATTTTTAGACAGCCTACAAGAACATCATTAAATGATGACCCACACCAACCCTATGTTCACCAGTCCATTAAGGGTCAAGATTTTACGAATTTATCTGTGAAAATAAACACAAGCAAATGCAATAATGGCACCAATGAAAACAACACACACAACCAAACAATGAGATTTAACGTGGCGGCATACTTGCCCACGTCCGGGAAGAATCCAGAGAGAATATTTCAGTAATATCAGAATACAAGTTCCTCAAGTCTATGCCCAATCTTGAAGATCAAAACACAAGAGATAATCTAGAAAATTATAGACTTAACTTCAGGGCACACAAACCATAAAACCTGTCTCAATCCAGAGAACATTTCCCTACTAAATCTCGATGTTTGCTTGTGTGCTACTTTCATTGGTGCGGTTATTGTATTTGGTTGAGCTTATTTCTGCAGTTAAGTTCCATAAAATCCTAAAAAAAAAATAAGGTCCATCATTCAAAAATCCCCAAACATCCTTCAGTGCCTTGCCCTGAATACACTTCACAAATGAAGCTTAATCTATAACTGCCCAGTCTCCTTGTGACATTTGCACCACTAATTTTAACTCCTACAATAAGTAAGTCTTAAGACATTACACAACACGCCTAACCATTTGTAACTTATGTTCCAATAAAATCAGAGAGTGAGCATGCGAAAGAACCTACAACATCTGTAATTTTCATATAATGTTTACAGCTAGTCGATTGAGGATACTAGATTTCTTGAATTATTAGAGCAACAAAGAATTATTACAGTGAAGAAGCAACATACCCTAGTATAAGCATAAACACTGGCCTCAGAAGGTGCAACTGGGCTCCCTCTTCGGATGAACTTTCCTTCTTTGAAAATATAGAGCATAGGAATTCCAGTCGACAACTCCAAGCTGATAACCTGCAGAAAATTATGCAAACACAAGACAATAAAAGTTGATGCTTGAACTACAAATGTAAGTATGGGATAGGCATCAGTTCATTACCTCCTGGGAAGTCAACTTGTCGAGGTACATAATAATAGACCTCAATGAGTTCCCATGTGCAGCAATCATAACATGTTTCCCATTCACAAGCTGAGGTTCAATCTGTTATCCTCAATGAGTTCCCATGTGCAGCAATCATAACATGTTTCCCATTCACAAGCTGAGGTTCAATCTGTTATGCAAACTGGTTTAGTATTCTGAAGCATCATAACATGTTTCCCATTCACAAGCTGAGGTTCAATCTGTTATGCAAACTGGTTTAGTATTCTGAAGCTGAAGGAAGAAAAAAGTTATGCTAACTCTTTAAGTACCTATCACTACACCAAAACTCCAAAGTCATGGTGAGGGTTATTGTTTAATATTCTAACATGCCTCCTGAAGGTTGAGTGTCCTTTTCATAGGCCGAAATCTTATTCACGAGTATCATTTTTTAAATACGTTTTTAATTCGTGGCAGATGGGATTCGAACATGGGTTGTGCTGATACCATATAAAAAACCCTACTCCTACACCAAAACTCCGAAGTTATGGTGAGGGTTGAGGGTTATTGTTCTATGTTCTAACACTAAGTTAAGAGAATGTTCTAACACTAAGGTTCAGTTCAAAATATCAGAACCCACTTAATAATGATATCACTATCATGCTGCTAACTTGGAAAACAGTCAGTTGATCTTCCAATGAATATCAGAAGACATGATTAAGCTACACTTTCTTTCATATGTGTGTATAAAACTTTTTCTAGGTCAACCTGAAGGATGGTGGTCCACTAGCTGATGAAGAGCCTACTTTATTACTGTGTTTCCTGAATTCTACCGCTTCATTTCGTGATTAGGTAGACCCAGTACTAAAAATGAAGAAAGAAAAAAGTTCATTAAGATGGACTGAGTCGAGAGCCAGCAAAGGGTCCAAGTTCTCTTAATTATTCTAAATCCCACTTTTATAAGGCCGTTCAAAAGTGAAAGAATTAAAGTTCCTTATCATCCCTGTTTTCTTCCAGTTCCTGGAAATCTTTATGCATCTAAACTGCACTATTATAACCAAACCCTGATGATTATGTTCCCGTCTGCATTCTAAAACATTTAAGGAAAAAAAATAATGTACCGGAGCATGAATAATCCTTACATGTTCTTTGAAATAAGCGACAGCCCTTTCAGCACACATTTCTAAACTCTCGCCATTCGGAGGAGGAATATCATAACTGCGGCGCCACTCGTGAACTTTCTCCTTGCCGAATTTATCAGCAGTTTCCTGCTTATTGAGGCCCTGTAATTCACCATACCTAGAAGAAAAAGAAATAGACATGAAATTGACATGGAATGGCTGACTTCAGGTTAATACCATTGCAAGCAAATGAAGTCACCTAAAACAGAATAAGGAGGGAAATTACATTCTTTCGTTTAATTGCCAAGCGGTAACTACTGGTATTGACTGGTTCTGAGTCTCCTCACTATACATTTGGCTCCAAGTCTTAGCCTGTTCACTCTCGTTGTGCATGATAATTGGAACCTGAAAATCAAGGCCAAATATTTCAGTAAAAAAAATATGATAAAACATTTCTGTCTTCATGAAGAAAGGAATAAATAAACAAAGTCAAAGAAAACCTTCTTGCGGCGATGCTGGGTCATGGCAAGCATAGCGGTCATTTGGGCGCGAATCAAAGCAGATGTATAAATCATATCAACTGGAATATTGCTTATTCTTTTACCAGCTTCAATCGCCTCCTCGACACCCTTTTTGGTCAAAGGAACATCAACACAACCAGTAAACAGATTCTTCTCATTCCACAAGGACTCACCATGGCGAATCAATATAAGAGCAGTTTCATCTATAAACAAATGAAATATCGGTTTAATCATCCCATAAAAGTTCAGCTCACAAAGAGTATAACGTATAGAAAACTTTATATAAAACGAGTTAGCTCATAAAAGTGATAGTAAGTCACTTGATTTCTTCTGTGAATCAGTAGTTTTGCTGTTTGATGGTGCTTGGACTGAATCAGCTATCGAGGATGTTGAAGCATGAACACCACCCAACTTCAAGCCTCTTGAACAGTAATTACCCCTTCCGAGAAGTCTCATATCAATCCCAAAACACTTAGAAACCATCTTGACAGAAAAACTTCCCATTCCATTTTGAGAGCTTGAGCTTATTTGAGCTCTGTGGGCCTGCACAGACCCGATGGCACTGTGCATTGTTGTAGCAGCCATTCTGAAATCTAAAGAAAAATACATTGTTCAATTCACATATGTTTATCATTACCTAGATTGCAAATAGATGTAATTACATATAATATATAATACAAAACTATTGGGGGAAAAAACACTACAGCAGAAATTTAGCAGTTCCTAATCAAATTCAAAAATGAACACAACGCAAGAGATCGTTCTTGATAACTTTTCAAGTCGATGCAATGTGAATATCCAGAGGAAGACAAAAGGAAAAAGCACTAGCCACATGAGGTTAGAACTTCATCTCCAAGAAACACTTGAATTATATGTTATAGGCAAAAGGATGCAGCAAGGACAGTTTTTATTTTTCATTTACTCAATATTTCTGTTGAGAACTGAGTTGCACTACATTTACAATTTATGAACAAGTTAATCAAGAAGACTAATATTCAACTATAACCCATTGAAAATTTTTGCTATCAAACTTTTCAAGACGGATAAACCTAAAGAAATTCTTTTCTTCTTTCT